TTTAGGGAATAATGGCAAGAAAAAAGATCTGTTCATGTTCAGTATAGATGCAATTATCTTTTTTTCTGAGTGTTTTTGATCCATGGTTGGTTGAATCCATGAATACAGAATGCTGATGTGCTAGCGAAGGATGCCTGTTGAAAATCTGTAAAGATAAGACTCTTTCTTAAAACATACAGATAATTTCACCGTGTGTTTGTCTACTTTCACCATTCAGATTTTCAGGTTTATTCTGCAGCAGGGTGGAGCTGTAGAAGAAATGGCCCCTCCAAGTGTTGCCACTCTAGTTGAGGAGACAGTACAGACACTTAGGAAGATTTATAAACACTTGCAAAACTATTTGGCAACAAATTCTAGTGCATAGAGTGCAGTTACCCTCTAGGCAGTCTCTGAATTAAGAAGGTCAGGTGGGGCCAGGTGGCTCACGCCTGTAATCCCAGCATTTTGGGAGGCCGAGGTGGGCAGATCATGAGGTCAGGGGTTCGAGACCAGTCTAGCCAACATGGTGAAACCCCGTCTCTACTAAAAATACAAAAGTTAGCTGGACGTGGTGGCATGCGCCTATATTCCCAGCTACTCAGGAGGCTGAGGCAGGAGAATCGCTTGAACCCAGGAAGGGGAGGTTGCAGTTAGCGGAGATCATGCCATTGCACTCTGCTCTGGGCAACAGATCAAGACTCCGTCTAAAGAAAAAAGAAAAAAAGAAAGTCAAGTGGGGCCAGGCTCTGTGGCTCATGCCTGTAATCTCAGCACTTTGGGAGGCTAAGGCCAGAGGATGGCTTGAGGCCAGGAATTTGAGACCAGCCTGGGCAACATAGGGAAATCTTGTCTTTTTTTTTTTTTTTTTTTTTTTTTTTTTTTTTTTTTTTTTTTTTTTTTGAGATGGAGTCTTGCTCTGTAGCCAGGCTGGAGTGCAGTGGCGCAATCTTGGCTCAGTGCAACCTCTGCCTCCCGGTTCAAGTGATCCTCCTGCCTCAGCCTCCCAAGTAACTGGGACTACAGGCGCCTGCCACCATGTCTAGCTAATGTTTGATTATTTTTCATTTCATTAAAAATTTTTTTGTTACAAATAAAGACAAGGCCTCACTATGTTACCCAGTCTGGTCTCAAACTCCTGAGCTCAAGTGATCCACCTGCCTTGGGCTCCCAAAGTACTGGGATTACAGGAGTGAGCCACCACACCTGGCCTGTCTCTATAACAAAAAGTTTTTAATTAGCCAGGTGTGGTGGTGTGCGCTTATAGTCCCAGCTACTCAGGAGGCAGAGGCAAGAGGACCACTGAGCCCAGGAGTTGAGGCTGCAGTGAGGCATGGATGTGCTACTGTGCTCCAGCCTGAGTGACAGGGCGAGACCCTGTCTCAAAAGGAAAGAGGGGAAGGAAAGAAAGAAGAAGGAAAGAGAGAGAGGAAGGAAAGAAGGAAGGAAGGAAGGAAGGAAAAGTCAGGTGAGGTCTTCAGGGAAGGCTAATTGAAGGTGAGTTTTGAGCTGATTTTTTTAAGGGGGAGTCCTAACATTTTTTTAAAAAATAATTGGACAGCAAGCATTATAGTTAAAACCACAGCAGCAGCACTTTAGGAGGGCGAGGCAGGCAGATCACCTGAGGTCAGGAGTTTGAGACCAGCCTGGCCAAGATGGTGAAACCCCATCTCTATTGAAAATACAGAAATTAGCTGAGTGTGGTGGTGGGTGCCTGTAATTCCAGCTACTTGGGAGGCTCAGGCAGGAAAATTGCTTGAATCCGGGAGGCAGAGGTTGCAGTGAGCTGAGATCACACCACTGCACTCCAGCCTGGGCAACAAGAGCAAAACTCCTTCTCAAAAAAAAAAAAAAAAAAGTACCACAGATGCCAGAACTTGAGTCGCGCTGCCTTTGGCTTCTCCAAGGCCCCGATTTCCTCTGTTCAGTTGGATGGACCAGTCGGCTGTAATACTGATAAAGGGATGCTCTGTCACTGGACTGTTGGGGCAGCTGGGGTTCACCCTGCCCCAGAGCTCCAGCTAGAGGTGCTGGGAGTGACTGGAGCTGAAAGGGAGGCTCAGGACAGTGACCCTCCCAAGATCGCAGAGGCATTCAGAGAGTGGAAGGGGCCTCTGGGACACAGTATTAGGAAATGGATGAAGCAGTTCTTACCCTCTTCCCTGCCCCTCCCCCAGAGCTGCTGCCCAAAGGAAGCAAAGAGGAACAGCGGGATTACGTCTTCTACCTGGCTGTGGGGAACTACCGGCTCAAGGTGAGGCGGGGCCCTCCCCTTCACCCTCCTCTGGGGGCTGCAGTACCTCCTTACTGCTGTCCTCCAGGGCCAGGGAGGCTGAAGGGATGCAGAGGTGCGGAGAGGTGTCAGATCAGGACTCCGAGGGAAGATCAGAGTGCTGAGGGTGTGGGGAGGAGGGTGACGTCAGGAGGTTGGGTGCAGGCCCAAGCCTTGCAGTGTTATCTCCCGCAGAGTTGGGGTGGTTTAGTTTGTGGACTCTACTCCGTGGGGTGGGGCTGGAGGGAGGGGAGGGGTGGAGGTTGAGGGAGGAGCCCCCAGGGCTGAAGAAGGGAAGGTCCTTCAGGTGGGCAGGAGTTGTGGGATACTGAGCTGTAGCTGGCCCAGTGGCTGGCACCTGTAATCCTGGCTACTTGGGAGGCTGAGGCGAGAGGATTGCCTGAGCCTGGGAGTTTGAGGCTGCAGTGAGCAGTGATCGCAATGCTGCACTCCAGCTTGGCCAGCAGAGTGAGACCCCATCTCTTATTTAAAAAAAAAAAAACAAACTCGAAGGTGTATCTAATGAGCATGTTTCCCCGAGCATAGGAGTATGAGAAGGCTTTAAAGTACGTCCGAGGGCTGCTGCAGACAGAGCCCGAGAACAACCAGGCCAAGGAACTGGAGCGGCTCATTGACAAGGCCATGAAGAAAGGTGACAGCCCTGGCTCCTTTGTTCAGCCCTCTCCTCCCCACGCGTGGGTGCTTTGGTTTCTCTGTAAATGAACCCCTCCAGGCAGCCCCTCCTCAGCCCTACCCCTTCCCGTTCTGGGATTCCCTTGCCCTGCAACTCCAGGTAGAGGTGCACATCTGTTGAGGAGCAGGGCTGGTGGAAGGGGACGGTCAGGGTCCCTGCACGGGCGGGGCTCCTGACAGTGTCCCTTTCCTTCCCCAGATGGACTGGTGGGCATGGCCATCGTGGGCGGCATGGCCCTGGGTGTGGCAGGCCTGGCTGGACTCATTGGACTAGCTGTGTCCAAGTCCAAATCCTGAAGGACGCGTGGGAGCCCGTGGAGGACGCTCCAGGAGGGCCCGTCTGTCCTTGCTGTCCCTTCCCTGTTCTCCCCCTGCACCCCCATGTCTGTCCTCTGTGGCCTTCAACTAACTTCTGCTCCCCTGAGACCCCTTGTCCTTCAGCCCCAAATCATGCACTTTGGGATGAGTGTAAATAAAACGGGGCTGTGGCTTGGGAACCTCTGTGTCTGCATTGAGAGGAGGGGTGGGTTCCGAACGCTGGACGCAGGGTACAGAGGCGCTACTTGTGGTTCTTTCCTGCCTCTGCCCTCCAGGTTGGCACAGGCTTTGTCCACTGAGCAGCCCAGAGCCCACACCCTTCCTCCCTTCCCTGAAGCCATGTCCTTGAGAGTGCCGGGCAGCTTGAATACATGGGGCTTTTCCATGATCGCAGAGTCCTGGGAGAAGGCAGTGACCTGAGCAGGAGCGGGCAGAACTGTGGGGTCAGGCCAGGCTTCAGGCTGGCCTTCTCCTCTGACCCACTCAGCTGCCTCTCTGGGGTTTTCCACAGCAGGCACCCCTTGGATTCTTCCTCTACCCCGCCCTTCCCTCCCTTTGTCTTCCTGTGGCCTCCCCTTCCTCCTACCACCTCCTCCTCCAGGGAGGGGGGGGCCTGTGGGGGAAGGAAAGCTGCCTCTGTCACGGAGTAGGCAGCGGTCCCAGGAGAGGTCAGAGCCCAGGGCGCCTCAGCTCTCGCCTGTGGGCTGGAAGGTCAGGACCCAGCCCCATCTGGCCAGCCTCCCCACCTGGTGCCAGGCTCCGCATGGGCCTGTTTTGCTTCACTGCATACCTCTCGTTCCACAGGCCAGGCCAGCCTGGCCAGGGGTAGGGAGGAGACACCTTAGGAGAGGCTGGGAGAGGCTGGAGGAGCCCAGCGGGGCCAGGTAGGTGAGCAGGCAGCGCTGATGGCCTCCAGGGACTGAGCCCAAGGGAACCAGAGCAGGAGATGAGAGTGTCTGCCCTGCGACAGGTGCTCTGCACTGGCTCCAGATGGGGACCCAGAGGCTGCTAATCCATCATCATTTGTGGATCGAGCCGGTGGCAGTTGCTGATAACTGAGAACAGGTCGCAGAGCTCAGCCACAGGATCACGCTCCAGGCCGCTTGCAGCAGGACCAGGCTCGATGCTGAGTCAAAGATCAACTTAGGAGGAAACTGGAGTTTTGGGCGAGAGCAACTCCTTGGTGGCCTTACTGAGCCCTGCGGCGCTCACACCCAGGACAGTCCCCAGGGCCGAGTAGGCAGCACTGTGGCGGTTGGGGGGGAGCTTGAATCCCTGGTCCCATTGAGGTCTTAGTGTGTTTCCCCGCTGGTCTTGAACTCCTGAGTTCAAGCAGTCCTCTCAGCCCAGCCTCCCAAAGTGCTGGCTTTACAGGCGAGAGCCACGGCACCCGGCCCCTGGCCCCACTTCGCCCCACTTCGCCCCACTTCTCCCTACTGCCCATGCAGTGAGCAGTCGGGCCTGTCACTGACGGAGCAGAGGCAAGCTCAGGGGACTGAGATCCCTGGCTGAGTAGCCTTGGTGAAGGAATTGGGGGCTAAGTTCCAGTCCAGGCTGGTTGGAGCCCAGGGCTGTGTGTCTCCCAGCCTCCTGTCCCCTCATCCACATTCATCTTCCTTAGAGACTCGAATGCCCCAACACCTAGGTCTGCGAGGGTCAGATTGTTCTCACGGTCCCTCCATCCTTCTCCACTGAAGGCTGCTCCTCATTCTGTCTGTCCCTTGTTGCTCTCACATCTGTCTCTGTCATCTTTTCGCTCCTTGTCCCTCTTACTCCGTTCTCTGGCCCCCGATGAAAGCTGAGTCAGAGACAGACACTTCCCCTCAGTTCCCAGTGTCTCCCTTGGGGGGCCCCACCTTGGCCGTATCCGTCTGTGGCTCCAGGGTAAGTCTGCCCCCCCACCCTCATGGGGCGGGGAGCCCGGGGCAGCCCAGAGGCTGGGGGGAGGGAGTGGACTTTTGGCCCGTTTCGGTTATTCCTTCCATCTAGTCAACAGCTGCCTCGCGCAGGCTTAGCTCATTCCTCTGACCTGCCAGGAAGCGGAGAGACCCAGAGAGCGGGAGGGAGGCGGAAACCTGGAGGCAGAAAGTAGAGACGGACCTGAGCCGGAGGAAGAAGGAGGCTGAGGCAGAGGCCAGCTCCCCCCCAGCCTGCCCAGACACCTCTTAGCGCGGCCCCTGCCAGTTCCCTAGGGGTTCCGCCCCTCCCCCTCTCTGGGGCACCAGGCCCCCGGGGCCCTGCATCCCACCATGTCGATGGCTGTGGAAACGTTTGGCTTCTTCCTGGCCGCTGTGGGGCTGCTGATGCTGGGGGTGACGCTGCCAAACAGCTACTGGCGAGTGTCCACCGTGCACGGGAGCGTCATCACCACCAACACCATCTTCGAGAACCTCTGGTTTAGCTGTGCCACCGATTCCCTGGGCGTCTACAACTGCTGGGAGTTCCCGTCCTTGCTGGCCCTCTCTGGTATGGGGTGGGGATCGCTCCGGGGAGAGAGGGCAGTGGGGAAGCAGCAGAGACCCCAGGGGAGGGGGGGTGCTGCCGTGAGGATGCAGGGAGCCCTGGATTCAGCTCTGGGGGTCTGGGTTCCTGCAGTCAGAAGTGCCGGGGGCAGCCCCTGCCTGGAACTGGAGTGAAGACCTTGTCACACGTGGACCCCTATGCTAGTGTGGCGCTTTTAGCTGTTACAGGTGCGGGCACCAGAATCAGACTGCTTTCCCAGCTCTATGCCATGGGCAAGTGATGAAATGAGCTTCATCTCACCCACCTGTGAGGTTAGGGTGAGTCCTAGTTCACAGGTGTCTGAGAAAGTGCAAATGTTAATGTGAGGTTAACACACACAGGCACTCATACAGTCGAGCATGTTTTGGGGGTGGGATTGCTGGGGTGGGCAGGATGGGGGGCCCATCTTGGACTCTGGGAGGTTGATGAACTTCCAGGCTCCCCAGCCTCCCCAGCCTCACTATCGGGGACACTGGCCTCCTTGTCCGGCTGACATCTAAAGGGCCCTGGTGAAGGGAGGCGTCTTGCAAGTTGCAGGTTGGGCGTCTACAGTGAGGGGTGTTGTGCGTGCAGGTGTGTGGGGCTTCCAGGACAGCGTCTTTCTGGGGTCTTAGAAGGCTGGAGCCAACAGCTCTTTGGGGCCAAGAGAGTTCTTTCTGCAGCTGCAGCACCTCCCACTCCCTGCTCACCCCCTAGGATGAGGACACCCCACTGTTCCCCAGGGCAGTCTCTCCTCAGTCTGATACTATGCCAGAGATAGCCCTGGTGTCTGTGAACTTCGAGAGGCGCCGCTCCACGCTCTCCTGGGTCCTTCGGGGCCAGCCCGCTCTCCAGGCACCGCGTGGCAGGGAAGGCACTGAGGGCCACGCTGCACATGAAGTGGGGCTTAGAGAAACCGCCCTCAGGGATGTCGGAGCTGCTCTGAGCAGTCAGGGGGTCTGAGTGGGTCTCCTGTGCCCCCACTACACCCAGCCCCTCCTGGGAAGCACCGGCAAAGGCTTTGTGTTTTCCTCCTCTCCAGGACTGACTGTGCAGGGCAGGCGCCCCCCCACCAAGAAAAACCCTCTAAAAGCCGAGTACAAACCTGGGCCAGAAGCCTAGAGTGTTGAGTGGCCAGAAGGGACATTGGAGGTAGCCCCGACATCCACTCCTCAGACACCCCGTGCTATGGGGAGGTGGCTCTGCTGTGAGCCTGCGTACCCAAGAGGGCCCCCCTTGGGAATTGCATGACAGTGCCAGAGTCCCCAGGGCATGGGGTAGAGGGTGGTGGGGTTCCAGGCCTTGGGGTAGGTGGTTCTGTCTATGTTATTTCCACCATGGGGAGGTGGGGGGAACCGTTACAGAAGCTGAAAGGCCTTGGCAAGGTAGAGCACCCCACCCCGAATCTCACAGGCAGGAGAAGGGAGCCGGGACTCTGACTCCACAGCGGGTGTGGTCCTGGGAGACGGACCTGACTGCATCTCCCAAAGTTGTACCCCAATCCCTGCCACACCGTCCATGTGCCTTCAGGCACTTCCAGAGCCTCTCCTTTGACTCCAGAGCTACCTGGGGACGCACAGCCGGTGTCAGCCCCAGAGGGAGTGGCTGGAGGAAGAAAGTACTCCCAGAGAACTTTGCCCCTCCTGCCTACCCCCCGACTCTGCACCCTTCATCTCCTGCCAGGGGCCAGCCTTTCCCCTTCAGCACCAACGGTTATGCCCCACCCGGAAAAGGGGTGCAAGGTCCTTGGCAGTGCTTGGCAACTATCAAAGACAGAGAAGGGAGGAGAAGGGAGAAGCCAGAGAGGGAGCCAGCAGCCTCCAGCTCTGAGAAAAGGGAAACTGAGGCACTGAAAGACTGAGCTAGACTGCCAGGATCAGTCCTGAGCCCAGGTATCCCACCTTCCACATCAGAAACTCAACCGGGTGTGGTGGTTCACGCCTGTAACCTGAGCTCCTCTCGAGGCTGAGGCAGGAGAATCACCCGCACCCAGGAGTTCAATCAAGGCTGCAAGGATGAGCTGTGGTGGCACCACTACACTCCAGCCTGCGGACAAAGCAAGACCCTGTCTCTAAAACTGCCCTAGGCTGGGTGTGGTGGCTCACGCCTGTAATCCCAACACTTTGGGAGGACGAGGCAGGTGGATCACAAGGTCAGGAGTTTGAGACCAGCCTGGACAACATGTTAAAACCCCGTCTCTACAAAAGATACAAAAAATTAGCTGGGCGTGGTAGCATGTGCCCATAATCCCAGCTACCTGGGAGACTGAAGCAGGAGTATCACGTGAACCCGGGAGGCAGGGGTTGCAGTGAACTGAGATTGCGCCATTGCACGCCAGCCTGGGCGACAGAGAAAGACTGTTTAAAAAAAAAAAAAAAAACTGCCCTAGACCCTCTGCTGTACAGCACTGCTGCCCCTTATCTCCAGCGCTGTGCTAGGCACTCAAGGAAGACTTGGAGTGGAATCATGGGGAAGGCAACAGCAGTGCTTAGCTGTGGGTTCTGTAATACCCAGCAACACAAGAGCAACTCGATAGAGCCGTGATTCTCAGTGGGTGGCTGCACAGTGATCGTCACAGCTTGTGGGGAGGGGGTTGCTACTGGCACCCCGTGGATAGAGGCCAGGGAGGCTTCTGAACATCCCGCAGTGCCCAGGACGGCCCCCAGAACAAAGAGTTGCCCAGCCTAGGTGTTGGGAGTGCCCAGGAGAAAGCCTGTAACCCAGGCACAAGCAAAGCGCACCAGGTGCATGGGAGGAGTGGGGAGCGGGGCAGGAGGGGCCCAGATGCCTAAGGAGGGAGGGGTGACTGCAGCTGGGTAGGTTGGAGGAGCCCAGGGGAATGAGAGGACTTGGGGACTGTTAGGTACAAGAGCAAGCAAGTGAGGGGGGCCAAGTACAGTGGCTCAACGCCTGTAACTTTGGGAGGCCAAGATGTGCAGAGGTCAGGAGTTTGAGACCAGTCTGGACAACATGGTGAAACCCTGTCTCTACTAAAAATACAAAAATTAGCCAGGCATGGTGGTGCATGTCTGTATTCCCAGCTACTGGGGAGGCTGAGGCAGGAGAATCACTTGAACCCAGAAGGTGGAGGTTTCAGTGAGCTGAGAATGTGTCACTGAACTCCATCATGGGTGAGTGCAGTCTTCTGAGACTCCATCTCAAAAAGAAAAAAAGATGTCAAGGGGCTGTTGGGCTGGCTCCATCACAGAGGGGTGAAAAGATGGGAAAGGCTGACGACTCTGCCCCCACCCCCAGGGTATATTCAGGCCTGCCGGGCGCTCATGATCACCGCCATCTTCCTGGGCTTCCTCGGCCTCTTGCTAGGCATAGTGGGCCTGCGCTGCACCAACATTGGAAGTCTGGAGCTCTCCAGGAAAGCCAAGCTGGCGGCCACTGCAGGGGCCCTCCACATCCTGGCCGGTAACTGGGGGAAGGTGATGGGGCGGGGGTCCCCCTGGGCCGCAGACTCCAGGCTGCTTTGTCCTCCACTCATCTCCAATTCTCACTCCTCACGCTCGCCTCCCCTAGCCCGCTGTTCAGACACCTGCTCACCTCTCCCTCGTCCATACTCCCCAAATCCCTTGGCTGCAAATCAGCCCAACCCCAGTGTTTCTTGAGCTCCCAGTAAGGGCCAGCCTCTGCCAGGTGTGGGAGGGACTTCAAAGATGAGAGTGAGTGGCTGCCTCTGGGAGCTTGCACTCTGGCTGGGGAGCAGAGTTAGGGCGCACATTACCACACACACACACACAGTGCCATACCACTGGGCGTGCGGCTTGTGCCTGTAATCCCAGCACTTTGGGAAACCGAGGCAGGCAGATCACAAGGTCAGGAGATCGAGACCATCCTGGCCAACATGGTGAAACCCCGTCTCCACTAAGATACCAAAAAAAAAAAAAAAAAATTAGCCAGGCATGGTGACGGGCACCTGTAGTCTCAGTTGCTTGGGAGGCTAAGGCAGGAGAATCGCTTGAACCTGGGAGGTGGAGGTTGCAGCGAGCTGAGATCGCACCACTGCACTCCAGCCTGGTGACAGAACGAGACACTGTTTCAAAAAAATAGCCAGGCATGGTGGCGGGCACCTGTAGTCCCAACTCAGAGGCTGAGGCAGGAGAGTCACTTGAACCTGGGAGACAGAGGTTGCAGTGAGCTGAGATCATGCCACTGCACTCCAGCCTGGGCAACAGAGCAAGACTCTGTCCAAAAAACACAGAAAAACACAAAAAAACAAAGCCAAGGTGGGACAACTGGCTTGAGCCCAGGAGTTCCAGACCAGCCTGGGCAACATAGTGAGACCCTGTCTCAGCAAAAAAAAAAAAAAAAAAGCCATCTGGCTGTGGCTTTTCGGTTTGCAGAACATTCCTGCACCATCGCCTCACAATAAGCCTTTGAGGTAGGGTGGGTACTGCCCTGTTTTCCAGAGGTGAAACGGGCCCAGAAAGGTCAGGTGGCTTGCAAGAGGACAAGCTCCCAGTGAGTGGGGTGGTGCTAGCCTGGGGGTCTGCCTGGCTGCAGGAAAGGACCACCCTGGGCTCCCAGGGCACCAGCTGGGCTTCAAGGGTGGTTGGGATTTGGATGGGACTCTGGGTGAGGAGATAAGGCCTTAGAGATGAGCATGAACTAGGCAGGTCTGGGACTGAGGACAGGCAGGAAGAGGTCGAGGTAGTGGGAGATGAGCAGGGTGGGCTGGAGCCTGAGGGCTACTTTCAGAATTTGACCGCAGGAAGGAGGAAGGCTTATAAGCTGGGCGGGGAGAAATGACTGAGTTAAATTGCTGCTCTTGGACTTGGTGCCCCCATCCTACTCCGGACAGCCCCTGCCTGCCTCTCCCGCAAAGCCTCCTCGCCCACTATCCCTCCCCCTGGACTGGGGTCGTCCTCCTGCCCCCAGGTATCTGCGGGATGGTGGCCATCTCCTGGTACGCCTTCAACATCACCAGGGACTTCTTCGACCCCCTGTATCCCGGAACCAAGTGAGTGAGGGAACCCACCCTCGGGGCAGCGGGTGGGAGTCAGCCCTGCCCACTGCGCTGGCGCCTGACGGTGCCCCCCACCCCCGGGCCGCCCTTGTGCACAGGTACGAGCTGGGCCCCGCCCTCTACCTGGGCTGGAGCGCCTCCCTGATCTCCATGCTGGGCGGCCTCTGCCTCTGCTCCACCTGCTGCTGTGGCTCTGATGAGGATACCGAGCAGGGTTGGGGAGAGGGCGACACCCCAGCTCTGACCGGGGCCCCGCCCCGCAGCGCCCGGCTGCCTTACGGGGCTCCACTGTCCGTGAAGCCAGTCACCATCTCGGACCAAGAAGACGACAGCAGCTTTGACAAATACGGCAAAAACGCCTACGTGTAGCAGCTCTGTCCCGTGGGCTCCACTGTCCTTATCACTGCCCCGTGGAGAGGGGTCCTGGCCGGGGCCCATTCCCCTGTAGAAACTTCAGGGGCCGGCAACGCCCCACGCCGGAGCCACGCCCCACAGGCCACGCCTCCCCGGTCGGAGCCTCACCCCGGCCACGCCCCCCCCAGGCCAAGAACCGCTCTTGGGAAGTTGCATGCCCCCCTGAGGCTGGATCCCTCATCTTCTGAGCCTGGGCTCTGGGCTGTGAAGGGGACGGAGGTGTCCTCGAACGTTTGTATTCTGTATAAATACTAATAAATGTATATTGTGACCGTTCAGGCTTGAGGGTGTCAGAAGCGGCCGGCCAAGCCAAGGGGTGGGGGGGTGGCACCAGGGGTCGGTTCAGGTCTCGGACCCCAGACTGTCACCCTATCCACCACTTTGGGGCTGTCATACAGCAAAATAGAAGAGGCGTTGCAAATGATTTCGCGAGTGGCACATAATTGCTGATAAGAGTCACCAAGGAGCAGATCCCGGAAGCCCCTGCTCCAGGAAACTGGAAATAGCAGAGGTGGCCCCTGGCCAGCCTGAGGTCCCGAGCCGCCCCTTTCACTCACCTAGGCCAGTCTAGAGCAGAGCTGCGCGCCCTGGGCCTGAGCGTGGATGGATACCAGGAGTGATGAGCCTCTTGAAATTCTGTTCCACATTAACTGGGACTGGCGCAGGGGCATTTCTCCGGGGAAGATGTAGCACCTTCCAGAAGAGTCTCTGGAGGTCCGTGGGCGGGGGGGCGGGGGGGGGGTGTCTGTGTGCACCTCGGTGGTGTCCAGCTCAGGTAAGGTGCTGGGTTGTGGGTGGGTTTGGTGCAGGCCCAGTGGGTACTGAGCTCAGAGCTGTACCCACTTAAGACGACACAGGCCAGGCTCAGTACCTCACCCCTGTAATCCCAGCACTCTGGAAGGCTGAGGGCTGGGAGGAGTTCGAGACCAGCCTGGCCAATATGGTGAAACCCCTTCCCTACTAAGAAAATACAAAAATTAGCCGACCATGTTGGTGTGCACCTGTAGTCCCAGCTACTCAGGAGGCTGAGGTGGGATGGTCACTTGAACCCAGAAGTTGGAGGCTGCAGTGAGCTGTGATTGAACCACTACACTCCAGTCTGAGTGACAGAGATGCC